GTTTCCTCAAAAAACTAAAAATAGAATTTCCAGATGATCTAGCAATACCACTTCTGAGTATATATCCAAAAGAACTGAAATCAATCTATTGAAGAGACATCTTAATTTCCAGATTCATTCCAGCATTATTCGTAATAGCTACATTATGGACTCTACCTAAGTACTCATCAACTGATTAATAAAGAAAATACGATATATGTACACAATGAAATACAACACAGCCTTTAAAAAAATATTGTCATTTGTGACAAACATGAATGAACCTGGAGGATATTATGTAAATGAAATAAGCTAGGTATAGAAAACACTGTATGGTCTCACTTACATATGAAATCTTAAAAAGCCTCATGTATAGTTAGAGTGGCATGTAATTACTGGAGTTTGGGGGATGCAGTGAGAGAGACAGATGTTGGCCATGGAATACAAATTTCTAGAGGAGTCAACTTTTTGTAATATAGCATTATATAAAACCAAGATCCAAGGTGACATAAACCCTACAGCTCAACACCTCATACTTATTTTTTGCCCTTTACATTTCAAAGTGCTTTTCCATACACTATTCAATATTTCAGGTATCATTGTACCCTGGAAAGACCAGGGTACCTCCAAGCAAAGGACCTCCAAGATTTCATTGCATTTATCACATCTATAATTATAGCCTACTAAAACTAATCCCTTGAGAGTGGGGACCTGCTCACTGATTCTCTGAAACCTCAGAGGTTGTGACATTAGCTAATAGAAGGTAAGTCAGTCACCATCAAAGTATTCCCATACTGTCACATTTTTCAAGAATAGAGCCTCATTTTTATCTCCTTGAGTATGGGTTGGCCTTTGTGACTCAAATTTTAATGCATGGAATACAGTGGAAGTGATCATATGTGACTTTCAAGACTAGAGCATGAAAGGTTTCCTTCTTGCTTTGTTCTCTTAGGTTGCTTGCTCTGAGGGAAGCTAGTTGCCCATGGTCATACACTCAAGCAGTCCTATGAGGATGTCCTTTTGACAGGATACCAAAGTTTCTCACCACTAGCCATCTGAGTAAGCCACCTTAGGGGCAAAAATCTTCAACTCAGTTTAGCCTTCCAATAACTGCAGCCCTATCTGACATCTTGGCCATAACCAGGAGACCTCTGGCTACAACAACCCAACTCAGCTGTTCCCACTGCCTCACCCAAAGAAACTGAGCTAACATTGGGTATTTTAAGCCATCAAGCTTTGGCACACAAGCAATAAACAACTAATCCACCCATGATGGTAAGTAATAGTAGTAAGGGAGATAAAGTAATTTCATTACTTCTAAGATTAGAAAAATAACAGGGAAAGTAATACTGCATCTGTCATTTTTAGTTTAGTATTCTAAGTGCTCCACACACACCATGATCACATTTACTCTTCATAAGACTAGCATGAGACAAATGGTAATATTTTCATTTTACATATAGGGAAATATAGACTTAGATTAAGTCAACTAGAGAAAGTGCCAATGAGTGGCCAAAATTAAAAACCCAGGTGTCCTTGTTTCCAAATCTCATACTTTTAACTATGGTGCCCACGCTGTCTCTATACATGTTTGTTGACTGAGAATGCATGAAAGGTATCCACCAAGGCTCCTTTCAAAGGTTCTATGCATATTTGCCTCTACCATTCCCTTTCTCCTTTGAAAATGCTAAAAATTATGTTGTGTGAACATACTCTTATAAAAAACCAATATCACCAAGACTGGATTCATTATTATATATTTATTATTATTATTATTATATATTTATTAGTATATTAATTTTTTTCACTAATTTTAAAGGAAGTTAAAATTGAAACATTTCCATGGGCCTCCAAAAGACTTATGGCTCTAGGTGGTGGGCCTCATGGGCTGATGGATAGATTCTAGGCCATGGTATCAATTGTGCACAGAAATCAAGCAATTGAAAAGAAAAAGAAATCCCCAAAGAAAAACATTTGATGTTACACATTGAAAGTCAAAGAAATCATGTCTATTGACAGTTTTGCTGTTTTTCTCCTTCTCATGGGCACTGGGATACTAGAAAACAATAGCAACCCATGGGGCTTGCTTTGGAGTGGGCAGAGCATACTGTGCATGTGGAGCTCAGTTTCTCAGGATATCAGGTTGAAAGAAAGGATTCCAGGCCAGGAATTAAATCTATCTTCTAAGAGAAGCTGGCAGTGCCTCTCTACTCAGTTGCTTTCAGCTGGTCTTGAAAGGAGAGTTCATGAGAATAGTTTTGAGATCCTGCTCCCTGAGATCCTCCCATTCCTCTCCAGGTGAGATGCCGGAGGGCAGGAGGAAAGCCCTTAGAGTTAAGCACCTGGAAACCACAGAGAGTAATAATGAAAAGAACAGTGATTTTAAATCTAGTACAAACTTCAGCTTCTCCACCTGATAGCTGTGTGGTTTGGGATGGATTCATTTTGGGGTCCTTTAGTTTTCTCATCTGCAAAATGAGAGCTATGTGGCAAACACAGTTAGTGCTCACCAAATATCCCCATGTTCCCCTCTAGTTTATAGCTAATAGCTGACCAGGAGACTGTCAGAAGAAGAAGAATGCAGTTAAAATCTGATATATTCCACATCTCTCCTCCTTCCACAGCAACTTTAGAAGCTGCGTGTTCAAAGAAAGGACAAGTGACCCAAATCCATGAGTTACTGTCTGCAAAAGAGCTATGCAAGAGGGCCCCCAGACCCATATAAAACTTTGAGTGACAGTAAAATAAACTTCTATTGGTTTCAAGGTTATATGTTACTGCGGCACAACTTAGCTTTTCTTGACTAGGAGACATTATAAATGCCAACTTTGGTGCATCATGAGGACTCAAGAAGATGAATGTAAAGCATCAAAAATAGTAAATTCACATTTTTCCTTGTCTATTTTTGAAAATAGCATTTTATCCTAAAGGATTAATCACTGTTTAGCAGCTATTGCAGACTGCTTTCTGATAATATCTTAGTATTGGGACCTAGCCACAGAATTCTGAAAAAAAAAAATGAAGAATGTATACAGCCTCCTCAACAGGACTCCTGTCGCCCACAAAAAACAGTACAAACACTTTGCAGCACCTAAATTCAACTCAACTAACTACTGGAAGTGTAAAAAGAAGTAGGTGGGGGAAAGTACAGAGATAGCATTTCTGGCATTATTTTAAATATCTGTGGTTGTGCTTTATAGCTAGAGACTTGCAAATGCTGACACAGGAAAATTACTCAGGATTTTGATCAAGGACTTGCTAGAGTCCCTAGAAGCAGGATGCTCTAGGACGTTACCTCATCTAAAGTCTCAGCCTCTGTGATTCAAGACTTGTAAACATGACAGACCAATATTGTGTATTACAGAAGTGCAGGTCCAAAATAAGGGCTTGCCCCTACCTCCTGGAGCTCTTTCTCCCCAACACAGGCCACTCTAGGATTGGACAGCCTCCTGTCTGGTCACCTCTTCCTTAGGCCACCTGCCTGAATAGGGTCCATCAAAAAGGAATGCTAAAATCCTGCTTGGCAAGCCTTTCCAGAGTTCATTTCATTGTGATTTCTCTGGGTGCACATTGGATTGACATAGCAATTACAAGTCAGAAAAGCAATTACCACTGACAGAAAAGCTATAATCACTCAGGCTTTTCCAAAGTGCCCTCTCAAATAACATCATTAGTTCTGAATAAAGTTCTCCCTTTTAACTTTGCAATTATGGCCATGACGTTCCTATTTGATGATACAAAGTTCTTCTGCCATTTAATGAAAAAGAGTCTACTTTTAAAAGCATGTACTTACTAACCTAAGTATCTGGGTTAATTTTCTAACATTCAAACAAAGCTAACAAGGACAAGTAACTTTCCCTGCCCCCGCCCCTTGTGCACTCCCTTCCCAGTCCACATATTGTATTTGGAAAGGGCAAGTAAATAAATCCCATTACTCTCTAGGACTGGGAGCTTGTTACTTGAAATAGTTGACCCCTAAATAAGAAAGTTTGGGTTTCCAGGGTGAGGAGGGAGTTGAGCATGGGTGAGGAGGGCTCTGGCTGAAAGGAAAAAAATCTGCATGCAGAATGATAAATTCATTTGGAAGAGCTACCAAATGTACTTTTCTTCATCTCATTACATTTCCAATAGAATCTTCCCTCCGCTTACATATTGACAGGCAACAAACACCCTGTTGTTTTTTTCTCTACCCTGTTCTGCCACCCATCCTGTGCCAGGCACTATGCTAAGTACTGGACCTTCTTCATCTCATGTGATCCTTGCCAAGAGCCATATAAGGTAGGAATTAAATTGTTTAAAGATGAGGAAACAAAGCATACAGAAATTAAGCAACCACTCTAATGCCCTAAGCTAGTACTTAGGGCTAGATTCAATGATTCAGTTTCTAAGACCTCTAGAGGGATAGCACTGGGGTTGGGATGCCCAAGGAAAGTGATACTTGAATTATATTACCGCAGTTCTCCCCTTGGCAGGGAGCTAGCCAAAAGAACTGGGAATATGGTCTTTGGACTGCAAAAGATTGACTGGAATCTGATGGAGACAGAAAATAAAGGGTGAACAGCCACAAGAATTTCGTCTTCTACAGCAAGATGGATTCCAGCACACCACAATCCCACATTATCTAGCCGAGATCAAGACGTTGGCAGCTCCAGGACTGACACAGACATAACTAAGCGGAGGAACACAGAGCGTGTAGCTAATTAGACACGACCTCGCCACTGTCTAGACAAGCCGTACCTGCAAGTCCCCTTCAACCCCACAGTGCCGCAACATCAGCTCGTGCTCCAGCCCTAATATATAGGTGATAGAACCTCTTCCCTTGCACGCAACCAGCAGGTGGCTGACACTTCTCCGGTGCAGGGGCCCTCGAAACTCAGGTAATAAAACCCTCCACTTGGTCTTCCAAAGAGCTCCCGTTTTCGAGCGCGCACCAGCCTGCAAGCTTCCGCCCGCTCTACTTTAGGCTAAACTTCCTCCTCCCTCATAGTTCCCCATCCCCAACGCCACAGCCTGTCCCTCACCTGCGTGGTGGAGGGCAAGGGCTGCACAGCCCGGCGGCGGCGACCGAAGCGAAACTTGGCCGCCTTGTAGATCTTCCAGTAGACAAACAGTACCACGCCAAGCGGCAGGTAAAAAGCGCCGCAGGTGGAGAAGACGGCGTAGGAGGGTTCCTGGCTCACCTGGCAGCGCTGGAGCTGAGCATCGTACGCCTCGCCCCAACCAAAGAGCAGAGGGGCGAGGGCAATGAGCGCAGATAGTGCCCAGGTGAGCGCGATCATGACAGCTGAGGCACGGCGGCGGGTGCGTAGCGTGTATTGCAGGTGACGCGTGATGGTCCAGTATCGGTCCAGAGCGATGGCCGCCACGTTCCAGATACTGGCGGTACAGCACAGCACGTCGAAGGAGATCCACACCTGACACAGGCTCCTACCCAGCTGCCAACGTCGCCCGGCCGACAGCTCGCTCACTAGGCTCAGGGGCATCACCAGCGCTGCCACTAGTACGTCCGATACGGCCGTCGAGGCCACCAAGTTATGCGGCACTCGATGAAAGGCGCGGACACGCAGGATGGTGACCAGAACCAGCAGATTCCACAGAAAAGTGGCCGCGATCAGCAGTATGAGAAGCGTCACCACCAGCACGGTGAAGACCGAGAAGGGCGGCTCCCGGCCAGGCAGGTCGGTGCCTCCTGGGGTGGTCCCGAGGATCTCGCTGCTCGGGGTTGGGGTACTGGTGCAAGTCTCAGGTCCTACGAGAAGGGCGGCTCCGTTGGTGGTCGCCAAGAGGTTAGCGGCTTCCATGGTGCTCTGGCTTGGGGCTGCAGGGCAGGGGACGTTCGCTTTGTCCCGAAGCTGTACCTGGATAGGGTAGGTGCCGGCACAGAGAGAGGGCACTGCGTACTCAGGGGAGGACCCAAGTGGATTTAGGTCGCCCTATCCTGATCTCTCTTCTGATTTGCAGTTTCTCTTTATTGCTTCTGCCTGAAGCCCTCGTGGACCTTGGACCCTCTTTTCCAGTGGGGGAAAATGAGAGACTGGACCTCTCCACTCTCTCCAGCTCCATTCGGCGCCCTGCTCCCTCCCACCTCACCGCGGTCCCCGGGGCAACCCGCTGTCTGAAGATCGGGAATCCGAGAGCGCTGCTCTGGGTCCGCGCGCCGGGGCGGGCTTGGAGCGTTGCCCCCACCCTCCCCTGGGCGGCTGAAGCTGAGCTGCTCCTGGAGTTGGGCAGGAGCGGTTTGGAGAACCTACCAATAAGAGCCAGACCTGCAACGTCGTCCCCACCCGTCTCGCGGCTTCTGGGGGCGCGGAAAGCACCCTGACTGCAGTAGTCTCCCACAAAGATTTAGAATCCTATAGGAATTCCGTAGCCGCCACCTCCGTGAATCCTCGGACCTGTCTGGTGGCACTGTTCGACACTGAAAACGTAGGGTGCCGCCGCATACCGGCCAGAGGGGTTTTGATTTCTTGGAATCGAGGAGTCTACCGGTGCCTATTGGAAAAAAAAATTTTTTTTTAAAGAAAGAAAGAAAAAGATAAAGCTCCTCGACAGCCCCCTGCCCTTGTACTGCCCCTTCATTCGCAGCCCTTCTGCCAGGAGAGGGCTACTAAGTACCTTGAGAAGTTCACTCCCTGGTTATATGCCAAAAAAAAAAGCTTCTGAGCAGTTTGGCAAAGACCAGGAAGAGGAATTTATCCCCATCCCCAAATCACCCGAACTTCCAGCGCCCTCCCTTCCTTTTTACTTTCTAATATCCCTGTCTTCCAAATTCGTACTGTAGGGTTTTCTTTTTTGTTTGTTTTTGCCATGCTAGGGATGGAACCCAGGGCCGCATGCGTGCTAGGCAAGTGCTTTACCACTGAACTACACCCCTAGTTCCAGGAGTTATTTTTATTGACCCTTGGGCAAAGGTAGAAAACACTTAAAAACACGAGATTCCTCTCACTCTCTCATTCTCCACAAACTCCAACTCCTCCTTTTCAGTCTCATACTTAAAAAACAACAACAACAACAACAACAAAACCCTCAATTGTAATGAAATCAACCTAAAGCTGCATCACTTCTGTTGGTGGGAGTAGAAGATAAATATAACTGACACCCCCCCCCCCTCTTCATGGCAGCATAATTGGTTTGTTACTAACCCTCTGAGAACAGAGCAGCAGGCTAATCTGGGCGCTCAGGAGACCCCAATGGGCCCTGCACCCTGAGAGTGAGCTCCCAGAGAGGACTCTGGAAAGGCCACCCACGATGAAGCAGGTGGAGGGATTTTCTTCCCTGGTTCAACCAGCAGCCCCCTAGAACCTGACTGAACCATCTTCTCATGCTGGTTGGACACCCTTAAGAATGTCCTCTCCTTTACCCTCATTTGTTCCTTTACAAGTAGGCACTGTCTACATTCTTGGTACTATGCATGACAGTTCTCACTCACATAGGACAGCATACTCACAGGACCTAAAAAGTAACATTAAAGGAGTCAAAGTAAAAGTACTTGTTTTTATTAACTACTTAAAGGCTTAAGCTTCAAGTAGTTAATAAAAACATCAGAAGTGGTGAATTCTTCAGAGAGCACAGAGATAGGGAAGTGGGGATCAGGAGGCTTCTTGGAGGAGGGGGCTGTTGAGATTTTACAGAAGTGTAAGGAAGGAGTTCAGATTGGGAGAGGAGGAGAGCAGGCCAGCTCTACTGTGAATGGCTGAGTGGAAGCCACATGCACATGGGGTGTACATGCAGGTAGATATTAAGGATCCAGAAGACGGCAGAATTTGGGAGAATTAACCTAAAGCAGGGAAACATCCTTTATAATATAATGGAGACTAGCCTTCAAAATACTTTTGCAATGATATCCTCCCTCATTTTTCAAATAAGCATAACAAAAGCAATGAATACTATAAATGTATAAATATTCATATTGCACCAGTCAGATATATGACATGCTTTGATTCTCAGTCTTTGCTCTACTCCACATACATTTTTCATGCTTAAAATCAATTTTTTATTTTGCCAATTTCTCTTAACACTTTTCATGCTCCAATATATTCTCTTCTGAGTTAACACTTTTTAATGTTGTGCCATTTTACCAGTTGGGCTTTCTAACACAGTCTTCTCATCTTAAAAGTGGGGATAAATATCCATGTTATGAGATTGTTATAAAACTAAAGTTAGGTAAGACCAGTAGTACAGGGTAAGTATTCAGTAAATGATGACCATTCCTGTTCTTTTTAACCAAACTTTAGCTTCAGTTCTCTTCTAATCTTTATATAAGATTGTTTTGTGTTTATTTTTATGTAGTTTTAATCTCACAAATATTTGTAACAACAAAACTTAATTTCAATAGAACTTACAACCTTTGTAGCACCATTCCCATTTACAGATTAAGAAAAAAAAAAACTAAGATTTGTCAACTTGCTGCAATGGACTAAATTGTATCCTCCACCCCCAGAGTCATATGATGAAGCTGTAACCTCCAATGTGACTGCATCTGGAGGTAGGACCTATAAAGAGGTAATATGATCCAATGAGATCAGAAGGGTAAGAGCCCTTATCTGATAGGATTAATGTCCTTTTAAAAAGAGGAGAGAGCTCATTCTCTCTCTCCGCTTATGAAGACACAGAGTGTAATGGTTAATTTGAATGGTCAACTTGATTGGATTAAAAGATGCCAATGATTAAGAGGTTTCTCAGTGTGTCAATGGGGGTGTGTCTAGCAATGACTGACATATGGAATAGTGAACTGAAGCAGAGATGCTCCCTAAGTGTGGGCAGCACCATCCAATAGGTTGGAGGCTTGGATGGAATAAATGTTGGAACAAGGAAGCAGCAGCAGATAGAAACTGGATTCTTCTTGATTGCTGCCGTTATTGCCTGAAGCCACCAGGCTCCAGCTCCTTCACTCTTCCAAAGTGGACTCTGCTGGTGAGTCCACTCTCCAGAGAGTTTTCAGAAGCCTTCCTTCTGGGGTAGTATGGTTGATCCCTCTTGTGCTGAGGGTTCAGCATCTTGGACCACACAGCTACTGTTTTCTCCAGTTCTCCAGCCTGCAGACAGCCATTGTGGACTATCCAGCTTCTGGTTGGGTAAGCCCAATCTAATAAATCCCCTTTTTATAATCATAACTATATCTCCTGTTGGTTCTGTTTCTCCAGAGAACCCTGACTAATACACAGTGTAAGGCTTCTGCCCACAAGCCAGAAAGAGAGTCCGTATCAGGAACTGAATTAGCCAGCACCTTGATCTTGGATTTCCAGCTTTCATAAATGAGAAATAAATTTCTATTGTTTAATTCAGCTGGTGTATGGCATTTATTATAACAGCCTGAGCTAACTAATTCATTATAACAGCCTGAGGCTCCCAGCTGGAATTTAACTTTCTGATTCCCTATTCCTCTTTTGTCCATGACACCAAAGTACCCTCCATTTACTGGACTATGGAGTTCAAGAACTGTTTTCATTTAACTTTATTAGTCAGTTTTACATCACCATGATCATAATACCCAAAGAGACCAACTTAGAGGAGGAAAAGTTTTATTTTGGGCTCATGATCTCAGAGGTTCAGTCCGTGGTCAGCCAGCTCCATCACTTTGGGCCTGAATGAGGCAAAACACCATGGAAGAGCAGTGGTAGAGGAAAGCTGCTCACCCCATGGCAGCTAGAAGCACAGAGAAAGGAAGAGTTAAGGCATAGTCCCAAGGGCATAGTCCCAGTGACCCCTCCCCCCACCAGATGTCTACAATTGACTTTCAAATAATTAATCATCAAATGGATCATTCCATTGATTAGGTCACAGCTCTCAAAAGCTAATTGTTTCACATCCTGGCTTAACACAGGAGCTTTGGGGAGACATCTCATATCTAAACCATAACATAAAAAGTCCTTGTGCTCTTCCTTTAGAAAACTCTTTTGTATCCCAATTACAAATCTCCTTGGGGTTCCCTTCATCTCTAACCACTCCCCTGCCCAGCTGATTGCAGTCCAGCCACACTGACCTTCTGCAGACCCGAACATGATGTGCACGTTCCCTCTCGGGGCTCCATGGCTGTTGTACCATCTTCAATAATAATGCTTAAGGCATCATTTTCTGACTCCACTTGAGTCTCTGCTTTACTGCTTTCATTTCAGGCCATCCCTCACCACTGGATCTATGATTGATCACTCTACTGGAAGGTGTTCTCTAACCCCCCACTCTATTTTCCTTCTCTTCCTGGCACATCACGGAAATGACATCATACTATTTATTTTATTTCCTTTCCCATTATCTGCCTTCCCTACTGAAATGTAAGCTATTTGTGTGTAGGAAATTTGTACCCTGAAGTATCCTCAGACTCTGGCTCCATGCCAGGCACATAGTAGGTAACTCAATACATTTGAAAGAAGAAAGGATTGTTGGCAGAGGTGATCCACAGGCTTCAACATCCTTGAACATTTTTGTTGGGCGTGCTTAGAGGGTGAGTCCCTGACTGCTTGTTACCTAGGCCATTTCTCACAGCTGTGCTTGTAGGAAGCAATCTTAAAGAATGAGGTAACCTTTTCCCTGGGCAAAGGGCAGGCTTTCTGCCACTTATTATTAAAGTGATGAGTCCCAAGCTCAGGGCTCTTTCTGCCACCCCACAGGAATTTGGGAAAACACGGGCAACTAGTGCAAACAAACTCAAAACTCTGACTACAACTCCCCGCCCACCCCCGCCGACCAGTACTGAGGATTGAACTCAGGGCAGCCCTGGCTAAAGCTTTTGCCCAGAGTAATGAAGTCATTTGTCTCTGACCCAGTGATCTCCTGTTCTCTCCCAGCTTCTATGAAATGGTAACAAGGTTGCTCATTAGATTAAAAGTAGGGTAAAATCTCAAGAATCTGCACAGTACTTGATGAACATTCAGTTGATTTATTTTTAAAATTATAATTGGCAGAATTTTTTCCCTTTGGGGAATAGTTCCTTGATACATTTTCTCCGAAATTTATTAGCTGAGTTAGAATGTAGGAATGATTATTTCTTTTTGTATATTCTCAAATTGTACCTCAGAGATATTTAATGGATTCACTGTTCTCTTAGCTGTGGTTTTGGAGAAATGAGAGAAATTGACAGCTTTGTCCCAAATCAATTTTTTATCATTAAAAAATGTTTAATTGGTATGCTATGGTGTATTTTCATTGTTTAAATTTTAGTTCTTTAATGGCTAAAAGGGCTGCATTTTCCCCACATAGTGATTTATTATCTGTATATTCTTTTGTAGAAATATTTCATTCTTTTTTA